TCTACTTTTTGTAGCAAAACTCTCCTGTAAATAACTAGATTTCTCTGAACAATAGAGGGAAAAGGTTACAGTTGTTTTCTGTCTCAAAAGGATATGGATCCTGGTTACAGCCCAGCGTTGTCCACCAGGATAGGAGTGGGAGTCTGCAGGCTGAGTGGTTTCTGCGCTGGCTGGCTGGCTGGCTGGCTGACAGTGGAGCTATGTGCGTTCCACCCCCTCTCCACCGGGAGTGAGGGTCTGGTGCTCATGACCCAGCTCTAGGGTCTGTGGTGCTGGCTGCCTCTCAGTGCTTTTCTGCTTTTAAATGTACAGGATATTTATCTTGACAAATGCCAGGAACCTGAAGTGGGGCAAACCCAAGGGGGAAAGTCTACCTATAGTAGAGCAGAGTTGCAGCCCCACCACTGGGCAGAGGGGTCAGAAGATTCACTGAGGGTGTCAGGAAGCGATGTCCCGTGAGCTCTGATGAGCAGCAGATGCTGGAAGTTTACTTGCAAACTATCAATCGGTGTGTGCATACATAGGAGGGGGTTCGGGTCCCCAGTGGCCTTTTCATTCACACATGTCATCATATACTCTGTGTCTGTGCAGAGATAAAAACAGAAGCCTTGCCCTTCCATCCAGTGCTTTACAGATGTGAGATTCAGTAACTGGGTTGAGAAGAGCCCACTGTGGGGAGATGTCCTTGCTGTTGAAGAGATTGCTGTTTCCTTAGGACTTAGTAAATGATTAGTCCCATTGGATTTTGTTTAGAAGTAACTGTAATTTTGCTCTTTTATGATCTCATTTCAAAATGTGGAAATAAAATGGAATTTTAGGACTTACACAGTTTTAGTTTTTTATTTATTTTTTTCTTTAAGAGAGACTTTTGCTATAGGGTTTGTGCACTCACCAGAGACACAGAAAGTGAGAAATCACACCTCAGGGGGGTGGACATGCTGCAATCCCTTCTCCTTCATTCTCCTCTCAGGATTTTGTGCACACATACATGTGTGCCTGGTGAGAGTTTCAAGCTGAGTCTGGGACTCGAACCACTGTTGACTGTATGGGAGTCCAGCACCTTAATTAACCACTACACCACCTGCTGGCTCCACAATTTTTATTTTTTGTTATTTGTGAAGGCCAGTTTTATACTGTTAACAGTACTTAATGATACCTTTAATCTGACGTGATTGTTATTTTCTTTTACTTTAGCAAAGAAAATTGGATTTTGGTATTGTTTTAAATATTTGTTGTTAATAAAGAACTCAGTTTATTGGAGTGATACAGATTTCTTCAGGGTACAGAAATAGGTGGCTTACCATTGTTAAAATCTGGGTGTTGCTCTGAACAGTGTGCTTAATGAACTCTTCAGGGTATTGAAGACATTTCGTAGAGAAGTATTGCAATTTTCAAGGAGTAGTTTTATACTGTTTAGAAATCACTGGAATCTGGTTATGTTTAAGTTAGTGTATTTGGTAAAGTGGTTTATTCCTCCCTTCCTACCTCTTCTTTTTTTAAAACGAAACAAAACAGTGTAATAGTTTGTAAAACAGTCTTGGGGTGCCTGGGGCCTGGAGCTCTTGGTTCTAGTAGCCCCTGAAGCCCCCCCACCCTGGCTCCGCAAGCTGTGGGGCTGGACCTGGAGTGGCTGGGCCTGCAGTGTCCCCCAGGCCTGAACCCCTGCCACAGTCAGTGTTCTCTCTTGTCGAGAGCTGCCTTGCCTACAGGCTGTGGTGAGGATCAGAGAAGTAATGGCAAGACAGCATTTTCAAAGACACCAGTGATGAGCAGACGAAAACGCTGTGGCTGGTGGAACTTGCTTGGGTTTTAAGTGGTCGCTTGATTTCATGAGCTGTTCTTATCAGAAGTGATAGAGCACACCATCTGTCCTGGTGTGGATGTGGCAGCCTCAGTTCCTCAGATTCCTGGACCCCAGACTCACTTTCACCCAAACAGGATGTGTGAAGTTACATGGTTTTATGTAATTTTATTTTGCCGTAGTTCTTAGAAAGCTCTAGGAGTAGGTGTCCCCAGTGAGTGCTAACTGAGTTGTCATGTTCCCAGGTACATAGATCAAGGCCGAAACCCCCAGCTCTACACCAAGGAGTGCCTGGAGAGGGCTCTTGCTAAAAACGAGCAGGTTAAGGGCAAGATCGACACGATGAAGGTAAGGCTTTCTACACGGGGCCTGGCGCCAGAACCCACGCTAAGAAGGGGTCTTGCCTGGAGACGAAGCTTTGCCTTTCTGTTTCTTGCTTTTATGAGAGAAAGAGAGGGAAAGGGGGGAACAGGAGGCAGACCAAGGTAGGAATTTTGACAGAATCTTGCTGTGTCCTGATCATCTCCCCAGCCTCCCCATAACCAGGACGAGACGTGCACACACATGTGCCTGTTGTGTCCCATCATGGCTGGGCCGTAGACTTGGTCATTCCTTTCTATACTCAGTAGAACAGTGTCTGTGCCATAATGTCACAGTGGGACTTGCGAATCGTGTAGTAAGTAATAAAGTCAAGTCAGCGAGCCATGTGGTACACACAACATGGGGGACACGTCTGCAATCTGACTGTCAGGCAGGTCCGGCAGCGTGGTGCTGGTAGTTGTCACTGGCCGACTGGCGTCCACCCCTGTCAGGCTGGCTCATCGCAGGCACTTTGGCTGTGCTGGTGCTTTCTGTTGAATTCCTGCTCTTGAAGGTTTTTCCTGTGATAAGGGTCTTCTGGCCTAGCAGCTTCCCGTCTGTGTCCAGTGGTGGTCTCCAGTCTCTGACCTCCAGACCCCTCCTCATCCTGCCGTCATGGCATTCCCAGGGAACTTTCTTTTTGCCTTGATAAGATTTAGAGAACTCTGCATCTTAACATGAGATGGGTAATCTTTCCTTAAACTGATTCAGAAGGGTGGTGCCTGTTTTTTCCTTGTGATTTGGCTCCTGTGGTTCTCCGACTTCTGCTGGTGCTGTGTGGCCTAAAGTGGCCCACGTTAGGGGACCCTGCCCCTCTCAGCAAGTTCCCTGAGCCATGTGCCCCTCCTCCTCCAGCCCTCCTTGTTTCCATTTCTGCGACCCCCAGGCCCTGTCCGTTGTGTTCTGTCCTGTCTCCTCTGCTTGGGCTCTGCCATGTTGTCCTGACGAGCCTTCACCCTCGGAAGGGATTTTCAGACCAGCCTTCTTTTGTTTTGTCTCCTCTGCCAGCTGCTTAGGCTCCAGGGTTCTTGGGGACGTGAGTTCAGTCTGCTGACGACAGCACTTACTTGGTGCCAGGCTGGCCCGTGCACGCTCAACGGGTGTCTGTCATACAGAGGGAGGGACCGCGCTGAGTGGGCTCGTGGGGCTTGCTCCCAGGGGGTCTGTCAGAGGCCACGTCCCAGGCATGTGCTGCTTGTGGTCACAAGACTTCCCGGGGTCCCAGCCAGGTAGTTGCATGCGCCCTGGAAATGCCGTCTACAGGGAGCCCGCTCTGCCTCTGGCAGTGTGGGATTGAGGTGTCGGCGAACTGAGCATCACCTTCAGGGCATAACATGGCGTTTTCTCAGTACAAAGTTGTGGGTCTGGTGGTTTTCTGTGTGGTAGAGCTGAGTGAGGTGTGTTTTCCAGCGGAAATCCTTCCCCCTGAGCGTGGTTGCTAGGCCGTGAGGGACGTGGCTTCTGCTCCCACAGGCTCTGGCCGTGTGAGGCGATGCAGGAAGGTGACCTGGCAGCGACATTCAGGCCGCATAGTTGTATTTTCCTTTCTCATCTTGCCGCTCGGCTCGGAGTCGCTTCCTCTCCTCTCACCTGAGGCCCCTGAAGTCTGAAGTCACGGTGCTGTGGCCTTTGCTCAGCTGGCCACAAATTCAGACTCGCAGACGTGACTTTTGCAGTTGTCGTTGTCACGCTACAGTGAAGAACCCCTCTGGGAATGTGCGTTTAGGTGACGCAGGTATGTTTCCATGCCTCTCTGCCAGTACTGCCTTTTAGTGCAGGGAAGGAGAAAGAAGTGTTTTCAGATGCGGGCACAGCTTCACCTGCTTTTAGGATTGCAGGGAAACACCTGCTTGCTGCTCATTGGGATCAGGAAGCATTTGGAATGGCTAATATGCGTCCAGGTGCTCTGAAGCACTTCCTCGGGCTGCTTGTACACAGTCACTTTGATGTGGTTCGAGTTAATAATTGCTTAATTAAGTATTATTGGAAGATTCCTGTTACGTGCGCTGTCTGCAGAAAGCCTTCCGTTTATGTGGCTGGCTTCCTTCAAGAGGTGCATTTTCTTTTAGTGTGAAGCAAGAGGGAAGAAGTTGTAGCAAACGTGTTTTCTTCCTTCAGGGCTTGTTAGTCCCTGTGACGGGTCGCGGAGTGCAGTACGTGTGGGAGGTGTGAAGGCACACAGAAGGGTCGCCTCGAGGGAGGGGAGCCCGGCCTCTGCCCTCCAAAGGGCTCCGCAGAGAGAGTGGGGTGCGTGTAGCCTTCAATGCTGGTGAGTCACAGAGCCATTTTGACTGTGTTTTTCTTTGTAGAAATTTAAAAGCCTGTTGATCCAAGAACTTTCTAAAGTGTTCCCGGAAGACATGGCTAAGTACCGAAGCATCCGAGGGGAAGACCACCCACCTTCCTAATGGTTGCATGGCCTGTGCTGCTCCCTCAGCCCAGGATGAACTGCTGACACCATGAGAGGACCCTGGACTCGTCCCCAGCCCCTGTCCTGGTCACTGGGGGAGGGCAGGATCTGCACCCCAGCAGCCCTGCAGCATGTTGTCCTTGTGTGGCTTGCAGATTGGCCACCCCTCACCGTGTGAGGGATCCCTTTCACTCTTGCTGTGCTCAGATGGGCCAGGACCTCAGCCTTGGAAATACTGGACGTGACTGGTGAATTAAAGGTGCAGAAACGCAGCGCAGTTTATGTACTTGTTCTGCTCCATTCCGTTGTGGTGTCAGAGAGCTTTAAAAAGTTAGAGACGTTGAAAAGAAAAACTGGTTTCATGTGGGAAGTTTTTCAGTTGGTTTTATATATTTTCAAGAATATGCATAAACAATGTTAAATGTAACTTAAGTTTTCACGGATTTCAATTAGACATGCATATAATAAAGACTTTAAGTATTTATATGGTTTCTTCCATGTAATTATTTTTGTAACCCTTTTTTACAATATATTTCCTTGTATCTTGCGAACAGTGAATTATTATTTCCCCAAGTGTTAATAATGTTCACAGGAAAGTGTGTTCCCCAGGCATTTAGACAGGAGTGTCCACAGCAGTGCAGAATTCTGTTCTTCCAAGTTCTGTCTTTGAGACCATAGCGGATGATAATGCACTGTCGACTGTTGGGAAAGCCCGTGGACCCGTATCTCACCTGCTTGTGCTTGCAGTGCACTGGGAGTCCATTTACGTATAGGTTCTGATTTAGCAGGTCTGGCTGGACCCTGGAGGTCATAGGTGGTGCTGTTGCTGTGGTCCACACCCGGGCTAGGGACCTGTGTATGATGTGACTCCAGGCTGGCCTTCCTGCGTCCGGATAACCTGTGCTGGCTTCCCAAGTTAGAGCTACTGAGTCACAGGCTTTAGCAGGACCCCAGGAACCTCAGTCATTTGCTTTCAAGTCATTCTGGGCCCTTCTAGACCCAGGCAAGGGCTGCTTTAACAAAGCACCACAGACTGGGTGGTTTGAACAATTTATTTTCTCAGTCTGGAGGCTGACAGATCAAGGTCAGGGTACTGGCAGGGTTGGTTTCTCCCAAGGCCTCTCTGCCTGCAGGTGGCCCCTTCTTCCTGTGTCCTTAAAGGTCCCTGGGGAGTGTCTGGTCTCTACAAGGATGCAGCTTAGATGGAGTTAGGATGCACCTGCACAACCCCATTGTAAGTCCACCTCTCTAAGGACACTGTCTTCAAAACATTCACATTCTGATGTACCAGGGTTTGAGCATCACATAGGAATTGCAGGGGCATGGTTCAGTCTAGAACATTCCCCAGGAGAGTCTTTCTTACTGGGGCTCAGGAGTAGGCCTCTAAGCAGCTGGCACCTCTTCGTTGGAGAATGAGCCCAGCAGAGGACTCCCATCGGGCGGCACTGCTGCTACATTAGGTCTTGGTGCCCGCCAGCAGCCCCGTCTTCACCACGTCTGGCGCTATCCGAAGCTGCTGTGGCCATCAGTTCCTGTTCAAGGGTCCTGAGGGGAGCACAGCTCACTGAGCCTGTCCATTTGAAGATGAAGCTGGATTGGAGTGGAGTACCCACAAGCCAAAGCACACCCAGGAGGCTGGGGCCCACCAGAAGCGGCGAGGACTAAGGAGGCTCTTGACGAGAGACAGTGTGGCCCTGCTGACACCATGGCTCACGCACCTGGGAGCAGAGCCATGAGAGGAAATATTGTTTTAAGCCACCAGCCTCCTATCATTGTTAGGGCAGCCCCAGGAAGCAACAGGAGAGCTGACAGTGACAGGCCAGAGACACCGGGATTGACATGCTAGCTGTAGGGAAGGGATCTGCAGCCTGGAGAAGTCTGGGAACATCATCATCCTTTTTTTTTTTTTTTTTTTTTTTGAGAAAGGGTTTAAAAAAATTTTTTTTTTTTTTGAGAAAGGTTTTGGCTATAGGACAGGTATACTTGCTAGAGAGACAGGAAATGAAAAATCACCCCCCGGGAGGATGGCCAAGCCACAATACCTTCTTCATTCTCTCAGGATTTTGAGCATGCATACACATGTGCCTGGCATGTTTTGAGCTGCTGGATCTGGGACTTGAAACATGGTCATCTACATGGGAGTCCAGTGACGTAACCTTTACCCCAACTGCTGTTCCCTGCGAACACCATTTTAAGCAGGTGCTCACAGCAGTGTTCAGGTGGGATAGGACCATGCCCTTCCAGCCAGGGTCGCAGTGCTGGGAGACAGCCCCCACCATGTGCGCTGCCAGGAGCCCCTGTAGCCTGGCGAGGTGCCGAGTCCCTGTGCTGCTTGCTGGTCAGCGTTTCCCCTTACATTTTTCTCCTGATTTGGGCGGTGCCCACGTTGACCTTACCCAGATCTGCTGGGTTCCTGAGGCCTGACCAGGCTGCAGCTCTGACACTTGTGGACGTTGGTCCTGCACTGCCTACTGAGGTCAAGGCAGGGTGCGGAGAACTGGTAGGCTTCAGCTTGCAGTCCCACTTGGCCTGCTACCAGCCATGAGCCTGGTGGCTGCTTTCAGCTGGGGCACTTCAAGAGTGGGGAGAACAGCCACAGAGTGGACAGCGGGAGGAGGGCATGGAGCAATCAGTCAAGTGGGTCAATAGCAATCAATCAGGATGGCCACATACTTGGGTTGTCTCTTCGTTTTACTGAGTCCGATTGGTGGTCTTGGTTCCTGGAGCAACTGTGTGGCTTTTTTGCATCTTACGCCTCCTAGCACATCCTTCTGACTGGCCCCTTAGTGCTACTTCTACTTGGGTGACTGAGGGTTGTGACACCGAGATGTCCCCTCAGTGTAAAACCACATGGTTCAGTAAGCTGGGGCTCAGGGATCTTGCTACTTTCTTTTAAACAACTTCCTGCCAAAACACAAATGTTAAGACAAAGAAGACAGGTTGGCCATTACCATGATGGGGTCACGGGTCAGCCAGGGTCATGAGAACCATCCGAGCTGCCATTTTCCAGTGGAGCCATTATAGGAAGCACCCAGGACAGGACCCCGGCACATTCTGTACTGACGTGCAGAGTGTGCAGAGCAGAGGCCGGGGACATGCCAGCTCTGCTGCCTTGTAGAGAGCACCGTATGGTGCAGAGTCAGAAATCAGTGCATCCCAGGGCTGCCAGGTTTCTCCGGGCTCGGGCATCCATGTGTCCCTTCATTTCCCATCATATCCCTCTGCCTCTTGTTCTGCTCTGCACTGGGCCTGTTTGCCATCCGCCCCAGCACTTGGCTCCTCAGCGTTGCTGCTGAGTCCTGCTCTGCAGAGCCTTCACTGCTCAGTAATGAAGGCAGTGCCTCTGAGCAAGCTGGCTGCTTCTAGGCTGTCTTCTGGGAGGGCCTTTCTACCTCTCAGTATTGTTGGGGAGTAGTAGTTCCCATGGAGCTCATGCTAGGATTTCTGACAACAAATTCCGAAACGTTTACATTTTCTCTTACCTTTGAAGTTTTGAAGGTTTCTTTGGAGTGAGTAATCTTATGGAGGTAATAGTATCAGTAACACTTTAAACCATGAAAACAATTTTAAGTAACACCTCACTTCTAGTTTCAACATCTATTGAAAATAATTACATTGTTTGTCTGTGTGTATATTATGTGTGTTGAATATGATTTATTGCAACAATTACTGTCCTTTACTGTTTGATTCACATTGGCTGCAAATTGAGGACGTTTCAACAAACAGATAAAAAGATAAGGGCTGTTTTTTTTTTTTTTTTCAGTAACAACACTTCACAGTTACCTGCCCAGAGGAACCATAGTTCGTCACAGGGATCAGCTAAGACCCAAGCTCTGTCTTTGCCGGAGACCAGCTCCAGCCGGGGTGGGTTGAAGCTCATAGGAAAGCGACGCAGGCGATAAGAAATTCAGGCAGAGACCTTGATGCTCTTCAGCATGATCTCGGTCAACTACAGTCAGAGCCAGTTCAAGACTGCAGCATCAGTGGCTAGGATACATAACATATTTATTGAGTGATGTCTTACAGCAGTGGGGGGGGGCAAGGGGGAAGTAAAAGATTTTACTCTAAAAAGTAAAGTATTCAAAGCATAGGAACAATATTCATAAGACATGTCTTTTTTGTTTAGGTATAAACAGTCACAATCCTCAGGGTGAGGGAGTCCATTTGTCTGGTGTATTCTCTTCTTAGATCTTGATTACCAGGAAAAGTTTTTTGGGTGAGGGCGCTTTCAGGAAGCTTGATAACCTCAGTCCCAGGGCAGCTTGGTAACTTCAACCCCAGACAAGCTTGAGAACTTCAGCCTCAGGCTAGGGTGGCAGCAGATTGCCTGTTAGAAAGGCCTAGATAGAAATCTTGTCTTGTTAAGTAAAGACACAGTTAATATATACTAAAGTGGAATATCTATATTACAACTAAGGGGGTGAGCCTATTGTCCATATGAGGAAGGAATGTGGTCTTGTAAGCAGCTTAACGACTGACCTAAAGGTGATTGTGTACTTGTGACCCTCTACGTGCAGTTCTATACAGTAGCTGTGGCTGGGGGAGTGGCAGTTTTTCCTTGTCCTGAGATCAAAGGTGACTCGTGGTCTTGTTTGGGGTATCAGTACTTTGCTGATGAGCCCCTGAGCTTTTCCTAGTTACTGAGGTCATTTCACCAATTTAGTAGCTTTCCATTAGCCCAAACCTTTCTAATGCTATCTATTGTAATTCCCAGTACGAGAAGTGAATGCAGCATTCTTTATTGACATTTTCCAGGCAGGTGGAGTGAGTCTCACAGAAATAATTCCCGTTTGCTGCCACCTTACAGGTCCACATTCTTTTAGGATTATTAATTGGCTTTATTGTAAAAGTTAGAGTAAGGCTGGGGGTGTTATTTTATCCTTAGGGGGTACTGTAACGACAATAAAACCCATGTCAGAGAGATTGAAAGCACAAACTAGTACAACAAACACAGTTGAAACCTTAAGCTCATGGCTGTGGCCTTGCCTGCAGCTCTTCTTAGCCAAGCCTTGCTTAGACATGAGAGGCAGCTCCCCATGTTCTGCCTGTTTTGGCTGCATGGCTTCTGCCATGCCTCTCTACTCTGTCATTCTTAGCAAATGGTTTTGTCTTCACACTACAAAATGGCTATACCACCAGCCATCATGTTTTCCAGGTAGGAAGAACATAGAAGAGGAATGGCAAAGGGTGATGGGGAAAACGTTTCTCTTGTTGGGGCTTTGTCTTTTATGACCAGAATCCCCTGTCTTCCTCACAGGCTTCTGGCCACAACTCATGGACCAGAATGGTGTCTCATGTCAGCTCCGATGATAAGTCAAATTATAGGGTTGCACTCCTTATATCCTTTCAGGCAGAGGAGGACATGTGCAGAGGGACTGGAGATGGGAGGTGTTGGGTAGCCTACAGGTCCTGCCCGACTTCCAGAAGGAAGCTTGACCTGGGTGGCACTTGCTGGGTACAGATGTTGGTCCTTTACTGTAGAAA